TATTCTATTCTATTCTATTCTATTCCATTCCATTCCATTCCATTCCAGCCTTGCCTTGCCTTGCCTTGCCATGCCTGTGCTAGAAGGGAGTGGGGTCTCCACTCCACTCATCTGGTAATATACAGTACCAGCACCCAATTCCTCCCCTTTCCAAATTAATTTAACCCCCCTCAAACCCATTAAAAGTAAATCATTTCAATTTCTTCCCAAATGTTTTTTTTTTCCCCTGACCCTGATTCTAGGGGGAAAAAAAGCAAATGATGATTGAGGGATTCTGGGAGTTGAAGACCACCCATCTTAAAGTTGCTAAGGTGGAGAAACACCTGTCTGGCAGATATTGAATATTAGGGGGAAACGACTTTTGACACATTTGAATGGAAAAAAACAATTGAACAGCGGAAGTGATGCTAAGTGCCTAAGTGTGCCAGCATCTGGAATGGTGATATATCATGTGCATTTATGAGAATCTTGGACATGTTTGCAAGTTTCAGATTCTTTCAAAAGCAATAACAAACAAAGGAAATTTGGCACTCAATTTGGAAGAAATTAACCAAGAACAGTTGTGTTAGAGTCCTAAGTTATTCTAACCTATACCATACAGTTGTTATTACATGCTAAACACAGCATGTAGATCAAGGTTGCCTTTAAGATATAAACAGGAATTAACGGCACCACACAACAACAGAGTTGGAAGGGACCTTGGAGGTCTTCTAGTCCAACCCCCTGTACTGGTGGTGGCTAACTTTTTGGGGCTCCTGTGCCGAAAATTGTGTGCGCACTCATGTGCACTTGTGCGTGTGCCAGCACCCAGAAGGCAATGCTTGCGGGGCTCCCCCATCCCCTGGGCATGTGCATACAATTTCCCCCCACCCCACCGCTGCCCCCTTACCTGCATTGCACACACGCGCGCCTCCCACTTGATTTTCGGGCCTTTTTTGGCCTCCCAGAGTCTCAAGGAAACCGCTGCAGACTTTGGAGGCCAAAAAATGGGCCCATTTTGTCACTTCTAGTATTTCCGGAAATACCGGAAGTGATGAAACAGGCCTGTTTTTCGGCCTCCAAAGGCTGCGGAAGCTTCCCTCGAGCCTCCTGGAGGCTGAAAAAGGCCCCCAAAATCAGCTGGGAGGCATGCGCATGCGCAGTGAGGTAAGTTTGCCTGGGGCTCGCATGCCCGCACAAATGGCACGTGTGTCATAGGTTCCCCATCACGGCCCTATACCATTTCAGACAAATGATTGCCCAGTCTCTTCTTAAAAGCCTCCCATCTTGGAGCAACACAATCTATGGAGAGAAGCCGCTCGGCTGACTGATTATTTTAACAGGAAATTTCTCTTTAATTCCAGATTGTTTCTCTCCTTGATTTGTTTCCATCCGTTGCTTCTTGTTCTGCCCTCTGGTGCTTTGGAGAATAGCTTGACTCCCTCTTCTTTGGGGCAGCCCTTCAAATATTGGAAGACTGCTATCATGTCACCGCCTGGTCCTTGCTTTCACTAGACTGGACATACCCAGTTTCTGCATCCATTCTTCATATGTTTTTGCTTGGGGTGGGATTCCACCAGTTCGGACCAGTTCTATAGAACCGGTTGTTACAATTCTGTGCAGTTCAGAAAACTGGCCAATTGCACTGCTGGCTGGCTCCTTCCCTCCCCACCCAGGAGGGGTTCCTAAGGCCCAGTGAGGGGTGATATTCAGGGGAGAAGTGGCCTGAGAGCAGAGCTGAACCTTTCTTAGAATTTTCAGTGCAGACTCAGGCAGCAGATTGCAGAAAGGTCGATCTGGGAGTGAATCTATGATTCTGCAAGCAGCTCAATCCGCCTGCCCGCTTTGTCTGATTTTGGGTAAAAGTTGCTCTTTTTTTAAAATAAAAAATTCAATCTTTACATATATATTTACAATATTTATA